GCGGCTTCCCTTGGCGCCGGGCGGAGCTGGGCGTACCCAGAGAGACCTCTGTCCCGGCCCCAGTGCTCACACCCTGCCCAGAGATTGAGTTTGTCAGCGATCATAAAATGGGAATTGATTATTCCAGCCACCATTGATTAGGGAAGAATGCTTACTGCAGCAGCAGGGGAAAGGTTAAGAGGAAATTGACCTTCTTCCTAGGTGACATAAAGTCATTAGGTAAATGAGATATTCACACAGGAGGTTTAAAAGGTCATGCTCAATTTTTATTTGTAGCCTGAAGAATCAACCTGGTGTGCGGCTTAGGGCAGGGACCCCGGTCTTCTGGGCGAGTGGACCGACAGGAAGAGAACTCTTGCCGCGTTGGGCAGGGGCACGGGTGCGGAGTGGATTATTGTCTTGGGAGGGTCATGTTGGAATTGGCGGGGGCCTTGGGACCCCCTCGCTTTGCACCTCCTGCCTGACCTGTGTATGCGTACCTCTGTGGAGGTCTGTCCTTCACTCCCAGGTCTCCTTGGTTGCTTTCGCCGGCCAGCAAAGGGATGTCAGGCAAAGAAGGACAATTAAAAACCCTTACCCTACCAGAGCCGGCCACGTCTCACACAGAGTGAAAGTGTGTGTGTGTGCGTGTGCGTGTGCGTGTGTGTGTGTGTGTATTTAAGGAGAGTGAGAGATGTATTTATGCACATATTTATCCCTCTAATTATAGGAATTAATCCTCTTACTTATGACTAAAAGGTAACGTCGAAGGACGTCCCTTTGATGTGGAAAAGCATCATTTGTGACTCACATTCAGACTGATTAAGGAATAATTGTTGTTAAACGCTTTACAAGAGGAGAGTGTTTAATTGAGGGGCATTCGTAATTTTACGGCTTAGCACAAAATTAAACGTAATTAAAAACTCAGAAATTCCAACTGATTTTCCAATTATTTTTATTGTCTGAGCTAATTGTTACACAAGGGTATCACTTCTCCCCAAAGGCATTAAAAAAAAAAAAAAAGGCAACAATACCTTTCCCAAATTTCCACTGAGAGGATTCAGAGCTCTCTCCAGGTACAGGCTAGGTAAAGGATCTTCCTCCTTTCCCTCCTCCCTCCGTCCCCGCCTTGCGCTCCTCCCTCCCCCTCTGTAATTAAGCGTTTCAGCCACTCTCCCCTTTCTCTGAGTTCCTGCAACACCTTGGGATGTGAGAAAGTGATGGCAGTTCTCTTCTGCAGATCATTACAGCAAAACCTGGAAGTATCTGTAGAAGGCTGATGAATTTCTTGAAGTAACACTTGTCATACATGGTGGAGAGATTAAAAAAACCTAAGTAAACACAACTCTCTGGGGGCGATCCCTCGATGCCTCTGCCTTAGAGTGTGTGGCAGGAGGGAGGCAACACAGCAAGCGGGGCTGGGAGACATTTATAAATGCGCAAGAAGACACCCAGATGCATACAGTAAACTTTCTTTTGCTTTTTCTAGTTTTTCTTGTTTTTAGTTGTTTGTTTGTTTGTTTGTTTTGAGAAATGAGTGGCTATGGAAAAGCTTCTCAGGAGGATTCTGGATTTTTTTTTTTTTTTTTAATGCTAGGATTGACAGCACAAAGCCAAGCTATCGTTGTATGAGTCACTTCTCTTAATGTCCAGATAGATTTATTTAAGTACAATACAAGGTTTATAAAAAGTGCTTCAATGTTGTGGAAATGAAAACGCATCCTTACAGCTCATCCAGAAGTGGCCCTGTCTTTCCTATCAGACTTGGAGGGAATCCTAGAAAATAAAAAAGCATAAAATTAGGCAGAATGTGAATTTATAAATTTCAATTAGTTTAGACTAAGTGTGGAGCAATGGAATGTTTGCGTTTCAGTAAGTGTCTTAATTTCTCTGTGATTTTTAGGATAGAGACTTCAGTGGATTCGAGCTTTCCATCAGGCTTTCCCATACACCCGCCCCCCCTAAAATAAATGATTGCCTCTGATCTGACGTGCCAGGTGAAAATGGGTAGAATTAAAACTGTCAATTCTGCTTCCAACTTGTGTCTTTTGATTGAGTTCAAAAGCTTTTAAAGGTAAAGCGTGCCGATCATCTATATGTATTATTTCTTTTTCTCCTATCACAGCTTCTAAGTAAAAGAAAACGTATTTATGTTTTCAAATTCATTTTCCCTGGAAGGTTTCAGTCTTCCAGGTAATTTGATGATGGACTCTGACACGTGGGAGGACGTGTGCCCGGCAACAGCCTGGTTTACACGAGTGCGCTGTGGAGGTACGTTGAAGTCCGGTTTTTCCATTTTTCTACCTAACTGGTTTATTTGGAGCTGAGATGTGGATATTTAAACCAGAAGCTTTCCAAATGCTACATACTATTTCGGAGAAAAGGCTGGAGTAGGCAGAATTGGGAAGAAAGAGGAAGGCTCCCTTTGAAAGTTAGAAATGGTGAAAAAGACATGTAATCCGATGTGGAAAATTGAGTAAAAGAGGCAGTGCACACTTTAGCTTAGGCAAAGATTACTGAGTCCTTTGAAGAAACTGACACGGATTTTCCAGAGATGGGAGGCAAGAGAGAGATGGAATGGGGGTGGGAGAATCCTAGGGTGGGCATTTTATGTAAATGAGTAAATTCGAAATGTAGTACAAATCCAGGATAGTGAAAGTGACAGTTCTGACAGTATTGACAACATAAATATATGTTTGAACACTGCACTTTCAGACACTTAACCGATGAAGCAATACAAAAATTCGACTACAATATTTCAAATAATCGACATTGATGTTTTGATACATCATTTTTATACTCCAAATCGATCTATCACTCTGGGGCTGGTCAATTTTAAGTAAAAATGGGCTGCAATTATTTGCACCTTAGCTAATGATGACCTCATAACAGTCCTCAATTAATTACACCAGTTTCTTCCTGTGGTGTTGGGGGGCTTGGAGGGGAGGCAAATCTTGAGAAACAAAACCTACGATTGTGTCACACACACACACACCCTACTTTCTATTCCATTTTTTGAGATTATGGGGAGGGGGCAGAATTTCAGAATTAGGAAGGGGTCTTTGGTGATCACATACACTGCAGGCTGAGCGCCCCTCATTTCAAGTAGCCGCTGGGTGGAATATGGTTTTCACTTTTACTTTGCAAGGTCCAAACTAAATTTCAGAGAATGCAAGAAAGTTGAGTGAGTCTAAATCTTCCCCAGGCCCCATATCCTTTCCTCAGTTTCATGGGAGATTTGCTCAAAGGGAGAACTGAAGATTTTTCTAAGGCTTAGAATGTGGTGTGTGTCTGGGGGTGGGGGGTGGAGAATAAGAATTTTAAAGAGAGTATCTAAAGCATCCAGTTGAAGTTGGATCTCTCCTTTCTCCCCTATCCCCTCTGATTGCTTTCCACACCCCGCTGAGGGTTTATAGGCTACTGTTTAAAAAAAAATAACAAAAACCACAATAAGAAATAAGACAAATCTCTTCGAGAAAGGCGGGAGGACGTTGGTGAGTACTGCATCCTCAAGCGTGAGTTCCTGCAGTTTCTGTGTTGGCTTTCTCTTCTCTGCCCGGTGGGCTCGCCAGTGAGCTCTCTCTCTCCATCCCACTTTTCTTTCCCACTGCTCTTTAAATTTGATGTGGTCATGGGGTGGGGGCTGGAAAAGCTAGCTCATTTTGAAAAAGAAATCTTGGACAGGCCCAGGATACAAACTTGAGCAGTGCATTATATGATATAGGCATCCCGAAGGCAGGAGAAAGTGTTGGGGATGGGGGTGAAGAATGAGTGCCCAGTGTTCTTCCGAAGTCCAGGCGAGAGCTGCTGCTTGCTCCCCAACCCCTTCCCTGAGAAGTTCTGGGACCCTTTCTTTAAACTCACACTGAGCCTAGGCCTCCCGACCTAAAACTTAGCTGGTCTCCACTAGTCAGGATTCCAGTGTCTGATTTCTTTCCTCCAAACTTCACAAATGCAGTTTTAATCCCCTCCAAACCACTACCAGCTGAGACGCTGGGACACAAGCAACATTTTCAGCAACACCCGCATGCTAATCAAAGACAAAGGTGGCGGGTGACCCACACTGGGTGAAGGTGGGAGCCCTGTAAGAGCTCCTTTGCCGGAGCATCACCTGGTTCTGAGGGTATCAGCCTCTGACCGGATCTTTCCAAGCCATCTGCGCTGGGAGTAGGGGTTGGAGCTAGAAGGGCAGCAGGAGGAAAGAAGAGGAAAAGGATCAAGATAGTAAGCCAAAGAAACTAGAGAAAGAGAAAGAAGAAGGGAGGAAGGAAGAGAGCGCGGGAAGGAGCCAGAGACTGCGAGAGCGAGCGAGCGCACGTCGTGTTTGGAGCCCCGCCAGATAGCGCTAGAGGGCTATTTATTGAAATACTTTACTTCTGCGAGATGGTGAAGCAGCTAAAATTGGGAGAAATAAGACATAAGATAGAGTAAAAGGAAAGAAAGCACAATGATTCTACCATATCTTAGTTAAGACAATAAATTATGGAGTACTTTCTTGTTAATGGGGGTGGGGGAATACATGGTAGAAAGCCGAAGTGAGGAAAAGACCAAAAAACAAACAAAAAAGGTCCCCTTCTATCTCTTGATCCCAACTAGGAAGAGAGTGAGCAAAGTTAGCAGGTAAGGAAAGAAGTGTAATTCTTCCTAGTCCAACTTCCAGAGATGCTGGCACATGGCTGGGAAGGTCAAGAACAGTTCACAAGGATGAGCTGAGGTTTATAGAGAAGAGATATTTTTAACGTAATAGATGGCTGCAAGGGAATGGGGGAGGGAGAAGCAAACACATTATTGGAACCGCCAAATAAAATATATATCAAAAATTCCAACTGTCAGCCAGCAGGTCTGGAGCAGAAGAGAGTCCCTCTGCCTTTGTCCCAGTGATGCTGGGCTCAAGGCTGCCTCTGCAGGGCTGCAATCAAACATCCTGAATGACAATTTATAAAGCCTTTGGTAAGCTTGGAGAAAGAATTAGACTACAAAAATTCACTGTCGCGTTCAGACCTCAAAGAACAGTGAAACAGATGGAGAGAGAAGACCTAGTGACAGAGGTGAAGTCCAAAGAGAGAGTGACAAAGAATGAAATACTATGATCCTCTTTACTTGCTCAGGTCAGTAATGAAGGAAAGAAAACTTCTTTCAAATAATACTTCAAAGTACCGATTTTGTTTTATTCTAAAAACTCTAGCATCGCACACATCTAGCTTCTCCTTTAAAATTGCACTTTCCTTCTAACTGAAACATTTTTAAAATCAAAGGAATGATATCTTTTTTCCATACCAGCAAACAGAAAAACAGAACCTACACACACACACACACACACACACACACACACACACACCTGCTTAACCCAAAATACTCCCAATTCAAAACATTAACTAAAGTTACAAATAAGATTAAGGTTGGATTTATTTGCTCCTCTAGCAAGCCATCAATTATTCTAACTATTGTAGGAAGACAAAAAGGATTTAAACCCAGTGATTTTAATACACAGATTAACACTTCGGACCTCACAGTTCTGAGGAATTTGAAGTTATCTGTGCTGAGGACCTATAACTTTCTGGAAGAAAAAAAAAAAGATCAAACAGGAGCACAGACTTCTTAAGGAAGGTGGGCCAATTCACCTAAAATAGAGTCTAGGTTCATAAATGCTCATTTCAAATTAAGTACTCTCCATAAAGCTAGTGCCCTTTAAATTGAGTAACTGTATTGGGATTCAAATATTCTTTTTAAGTCTTAAATGTTGCCTATAATAGCATTCCATGTTGAGTCAAAAAAGAAGAGGAAAAATAGAAAAGAAGGAGTTCTCAGAAGTCTTAGGGATGCTTCAATAAGAAAGAAGTGATTAAAAACAGACTAGACTCTTAAATTTGAGAGGCCCATCCCCCCGCCCTTTCCCCCCCCCCCCCACCAGATCAGGTCCCCTCCCTTTCACCTCTTTTTTAATACAGTGCCCCACCCCCACTCCAGAGCTAAGTAGCAGATTTGGGATTCTGAAGAAATAGGTTTCAGCATCCATATTTGTTCTGGGGCACTTGTAAAATGCGATTTGTAGAGGGTCTTTAGCCTTCTGATTGTCTTTGAATTGTTTTTACTGAAACAGATCTTTTGCAGTTAATGAGTCCCCACGCAGCTGGACAGCTCCTCTCGGACACTGAGAACTCTAACCCCAAAATGACCCCAATTTGACACCGCAAGATGAAATTTTACCGCCTGTTAAAACCATTTCCAGCCTGGGCAAAGGGAGCTGACTGTTGACGGAGGTGTGCGCCGCCTCCTGCGACCCCCATCTCGCGCCTGTCTCCAGGGCCTGCCCCACCTACTTTCCCTTCACCCCAAATGTGGAAGAACAGATGAGCCTCTCCGCCTGGGTGGGGGTGCAGAGGCTGAGTGAGACTGGAGCATCAGCAGCATAATTATCAGGCTAGAAATCAGAAAGTGTGTGTACCCCACTGCTTTGGAATCGCTCCTATCGGACCGGCAACACTGAAGGAGGTAGGGGGATATCAGGAAGTTCTTAAATGCTTTTTAGCTCTGTTAATAAAACATCAGCAAGTTGGTGATTAAAAGTAATAGTCTGAATTCATCAGAATGACCAAGAACGGACACCCTGAATCACCTCCAACTTGATCTTGTGTGTAATCTATTGCCCTGCGATGCTATTTTACACGTACAGTTTCATAAATGAATGCAACTAGGTAAGTGAAATCTCTTTAGTCGCATGAAATTCGGGATTCTCTCCTTAGGCAATCAGTGAATTTTAAAATCATGCAGACTTTCCTCCATTCGGGCTTCATTTTTAACACTCGCACTTCTAAACTGAAGTCTTCGGAGTTAAAGATGATTGTGGTTTTTTGTTTTTGTTTTTTCCCTCTGACTCTATCTTAAAATGTCCTATTTCTATCTCCCTCCTACATCAACCAGATTATCCCTGTAGTTTGCTTTAATGTATGCAATACAATGCAAAAGAAGTTACAGAATATTAGAAAGTAAGGAAGAAAGGAGTTCGGGTTAAAATGACTTCTGCCTTGCCCAAAGGATTAAAACACAAGAAAAATCGAGTTTCAGCCTTCTTTCTTTTGTAAAACCCAAGATTATCACGGAATAACCAACCCATTATTAGCCTACCAACTGTTTGAAAATACAGAAATCATCAATTGCTCTGAATTGTTTTTTACCCGAATGCATTGCCAAGTATGAAATTTATATATTTCTTAACACTCGTGAAGTTTTTAAAAACAAAGGCTGTGGGGGATGCTAACTCACTTCACAGTATCATTATGAAAAAAAAAGTGGTGGTAAAGGCAGCATAAGGTAGAAACCTTCAGTGTTTAAACTCGGCAATGTAGAGATTTGTTTCCAAGTTGATCTTTATAAAAGGAGCGTTTATCAAGGAAATTGAGTTCCTTTTTAAAAAGAGAAGTGACGCTTACTACACAGGCTGTTTAAAACAACAATAACCCTATTGGCGACAATACGTACACAATACTGAAAATACGAACAACTGGAAGAATAACTAAAAATCACTATGAACTTCTCAGCGGCGCTGCACGGGGAACTCGGAAACAGCAATTTCAAGATCTCTAGTAGAAAACCCTCCGCAGGCGGAGACTAGATTGTTATTTTTCTCTCAGCCTTCCCGCCCCGGCTAAACTGAATTCTCATAACTGCCGCTTGAAACAAAATTCTGCAAGACAACTTTTTTTTTTCTTTTTGTCTTCTTTCCTTTTCTACTCACCTTTTCTTACATGTCGACGAGCAACTCAGCAACAAATAAGGAGGATGCTTTTAATCTTGGAGTTCTTCTAGGGAAAAAAAAAATGAAAAGGTGGAGGGGGACGGACCCTCCCCACAACCTGCAGATTTCATACCCGTTGGATCATACAGGCTTGAAGCCCGGCGTAAAAGTGGCTGAAAATCTGGTCTAGACTCTCTTCTCCGAAGCTCCGAGCGCCGGGCCGGCCCCTGCTGTGGTCACCCCGGCAAATAACCCGAGGTCCACAGCCCCGCTCCCTGGCGTCGCGCTACCCTCGCCTCTGACAGCCCCACCGCACTATTTTTATATGTGAGGGCCGATTTCCCGCAGACATCATTGTTATGATGGCTCATTTAATCAAACTGTTTAATTGCTCTGGTAATCACTATCATCATCACAGGTGCTCAATCATTCATCATTTTTGGAGGGCTTTATTGACCTCCGGAGCTCATTCCCCAGCCCTATTAAAACGGGGCCAAATTTCTCCGACTTAGCTTGGAGTCTCTGCAGGCTGCGATCTAAGCTCAGTTGAGTGTTGCCTGAAAGCTTACAGTGAAGCAGAGAAGATGTAAAGCCCCCCCCCCACCCCATCCGCGCGCCTCTCTCTCTCTCTCTCTCTCTCTCTCTCTCTCTCACACACACACACACACACACACACACACACACACACACACACACACTGCTTTATTTTTCTCTGTGCTTCCCATCCCCCGGGAAGTCGGGTCAAAATTGCGCGCGGAAAATATGCTACTTTCTACTATCCAGAATGAATTCAAAGTTGGAGAGGGAGTCGGCTGTTGAGGAACAGTCTGTTTTCGATTCCCTGAGCCAGGGACCATGAACCGGACAAGAGCGAGTTGCTGAGTAGAGGGTGCGCTCGGAGCAACCAGGGCAGGACTGCATGGCTGGCGGGAGCGGGGGGGGGGGGGGGCGGAGGGGGCAGCTGCGCAGAGCGCGCAGGGTGACCATAACTCCGCCCCCAGCTCGAGGCTCGGAGTGATTGACGCACCGCCACCGTGAAACCGGCGGCGTCGAGGTGAGGCTGGGTGCAGCTCCTGCCGGGGATTGGGTGAGACACCCGCCAGAACTAACTTTTTACACAAAACAGTGTAGGATAGTTACCTTCCTCCCCCCTGCCCCTAACTCTCGTCCTTTCCCTTTTTGGAAAAGTTCGCTCGTAGTCGGCCGGTCTTCCCGATCCCGCGAAATTGTACGGTATAATTAACACAACCTTTAGCTGGCGATACCGCTCTCCGGCCTCTGCGCCCTGGGCGACCACAACAAAGCTGGGAGGGAGTACCGGCCAATTCTCCTTGAATGGCATCTTTCTCCCTCCCTCTCTATCCGGTGCTTCCCAGCTCTAAGTGAGATCCACTTCGGAAGCGCACACTAGTGGCGCGCGCGCGCGCGCACACACACACACACACACACACACACACACACACACTCTCCCTCCTGGCGACATCAGACAACATCAAACACCCAAACGACTCCTCCCCACTTCCTCCCTCCCAATTCCATCGCGGCCCCCAGAGACTCTCCAGGGTGGCCCTTGTCCGCACCGCTTGGAGACAGTGCGGAGTTAAGCTGATCTCTTCTTGTCCTGAAAAAAATAAATGTTGACAAGAGCGCTGGATGTGCACAGGGAAGAAAGTACCACTTAAAAATAACAAAAACGAAAACAAACAAACAAAAAAACCTCTAGGCCGGCAGTGGTACGATTTGCACAGCCAGCTGCCCCTGGATGTTAGCAGAAAGTCCTCAGGGGCGCAGTAATCGGCTGGCAGAGGCACAGGGGCCCGCGGAATTAAAAGGAACAAAAGCAAGATCGCCATTCCAATCGTCCCCAACACGACCCCGTTAGGCTTGAGCCTGGTGTGATGGGAAAATGAACTAGAAGTTTGAAAAAAAAAAAATTTAGAAGATCTGAGGCTGTACCGTACTTTCCCTGTGGTTTTCTGCAGTTTTCCTCTCTGCGCTCTCCCTGTCCTCTTCATTCTCTCCCTCTTTCCTCGCTCGCGCGCGCCCGCCCGCATGCGCGCGCCCTCTCTCTCTCTCTCTCTCCCGCCCCCCCAGCCGGGGCCGTCCGATCGCACTCGCTGCATATCAGAGGCTCGGCGCGGCGCGCTCCTCCTCGCTCCCGCTCCCCACTCCCGGGATGTGTCTCCGCCGTACGACGGGCTATGGCCACCACGACTTCCGGGTTCCGTCATTTCGTTCTCCCGCCGCCGACCCGCGCCGCCAAACTGAGGCTCTTCTATAAGCCAGGCAGCAGCCAACCTGCCAACACCTACTGACACTCACTCATCTCCCAGAGAGAGAAAGAGAGCGCGAGAGAGCGAGCGCGAGAGAGCGAGCGCGAGTGAGAGCGAGCGAGCGAGAAAGAGAGAGAGGGAGAGACAAAATACCTACCAGGAAAGGGGGGGAGGAAGTCCAATTTTTGCAAACTATTCAATTTTTTTCTTGATTTTTCCCCTCTGCTTTCTTTGAACGATACTTTAAAGAGAGAGGATCATATCATAGATTCCGCGGGGGCCAAGCTAAAAGAGGGGGGGAGGGGGGAGGAAAAAATTCAAGAAGCAGAAACCCCTCGCGGAGTTTTACTGGAAGAAAAAAAAAACGGGTCTGAAAGATTCCTCCTCTTCATCATCATCAACCATCATTCATTCACTACCTTGACATTCCGGGCTTTGATTGACAGCTGGAGTGGCAAAAAGCCATGAAACACGACAGTTCGGTTACATGTGGGCTGCTGACGGGCCGCTCGTAACCTTCAGTTCGGGGGCTTGACAATTTTTTTTTCTTCTTTTTCTTCTTTTTCTTTTCTTTCTTTTTTTTTTTTTTCAACTGAGGGGAAGAGAAGAGAAAGAGGGGGAAAGGAGGCCCGAAGAGGAGGAGGAGGGGAGGGGGGAGGAGGAGGAGGTGGAGGAGGAGGAGGAGGAAGATCAGGAGGAGGAGGAAGAAGAGGAAAAAAGAGAAAAAGAAGAAATATCACAGAAAAAAAAAAAAACATCTTCGTTGTCTTGCCTGGGCTTTTTTTCCCCCCCCTAAAAATAACATATTGGAGAATTGGGAGAAGTCTTTTTGGTTTGGAAAAAAAAAAAAAAAAAAGGAATCTTCAGCCTAGATCACTTTCTTATCCGGACTGGGATATTAAATATACGACACATCCAGGAGTTTATTGGAGCGCAGACTGATGGCGCAAAGGGTAGGTTTAAATCTCCAACACTTACCTAGATATAAATCCTCTCTTAAGAGGGGCCTGTCCCGATGCCTCCTCTCCCTTCAACGCTGCTGCTGCTGCTCGCTGCTTGATGATGGCGGCCAGTATTTAAAAAAATAGCAGCAAAATTATTCATCGGCTTTTCCCCCCCGTGCCTCTGCGTGTGTGCGAGTGTGTGTGCGTGCGTGTGTGCGTGTCTGGGCGCGCGTGTTCCAGCGCTGTGCGAGCG